TTCAACTCTCTTAGACTAGGTCAGCAAAGTAAAAGGCAATTATAGAAGCTATGTTCTGCTGTCTGACAACTTAGAATTAAAATACTTGGAATTCAGAAGGAAAAATTCCAGATGTCAGCTTCTATTTTACTGAGCAACAACAAAAACACAGTCCATTAAGCTGGAAGTACAGCCAAAAATACAGCCGCAGAGTAAAACTCATAACAAAAGAAGGTCATTAAATATTAATTTTTTTTTTTAAATTACCTTTCCCATTTAGGCAAAAAGTTGCTGTTAATATCAGCATTTGTAAGGAAAAATAAAAATATTTTCTTTTACTTTCAGTGAATGACAAAATAATATCCAATAAGTGGCCTTGTTATCCAGCTACACAACAGCAAATACTCAGCTTTACAGAAAGTAAAATTACTATTCATCGGGACACTAGTCAAGAAATCTGCTTTTTTTTTTTTCTTAGACCTTACCTCCAGGAAGCAGAGTATGGATCTAGACGATTAACTTCAGGCAAGAATTTTTGCAAACTGAAATTCTTTGTCCTAAGCTTTAGTCGTCACAGGTATTTTAATGGGGAAAAATAAACAAATCCACATTCAAGTAAATGCTCTAACTACCATGTAATATGGCAAGATTACTTACAATTAGGTACGTGTTAAACATCACATCTATTTTTGGTATTGTTAAAATGACATTTACTTCTGTTCTACGTAACAGGAGTGATCAGAAAAGACCAAACATACACAATAAACTGTCAACATTCCCAGGAACTGTTTTGAAGGGGTTTGACTGCTTCAACGGGTTTTCTTCATACAGTTCTCTTATTGCCAAGAAAAAGTTTTTATTTCTGACAGCTGTTGAAAATCGGTTTGGAAACCAATCTTTAAAAAAAATCAAAAAATTAATCTCAACTGGCTGAGGTTTTGGGTTTGTCGTGTGGTTTTTTTTTTAAAAAAAAAGCTGACATAGTTGAAACAGAAATTAAGAACAATCAGAAAATGGAAAAGGCTGTTGCAGGGGGGGGTGGTGGGGTGGTTCTCATTCAAATATTGCTTAAAATGAAGTAATTTTCTAGGACTTTCTCTGATTTTCCTTCACAATTAATTTCCTACCAGATTAACATTCTATAGAATCCTCTGAAATGGTATCTTTTAATCAAGTTTTTCTCATCAGACAAGAAATTACAGCAATAGGTACCACTTAACCCTTTACAGTTACTTACTTTACAGTTATTTTCAGAATTTCTTAAATCAGGAAAAATAAGGATAAAGGCTTCGGGCTTTCAGTTTAAAACATTCCACATTAACAGCAAAACCACTATCACTTTGCAAATGGTTAAGAGTGGTTTAAGATGCTCATGCTGTGGAGGCATCTCCTCTCCAGCAGCTCAGCAGCCGACCTGGAATTTGCACGCCCTAAAACCATCACACCTCAACCCTCCAACACAGTGGCTGAGCCGTGGAGACTGTACTCTGCAGCTAGGAGATGTGGTCCTGCAGCTGGAGCTGGCAGCACCTTCAGCTACTCCACCTAGGTCTGAAACAGGATACGCTCCCCTTATTCTAAATTCTTAGTTTAAGGATTACATAAAATATTCTCCACCAAGCTTGTTTCCTGTACTGCACACACCCTCAGTTTATTCCTAGGCGTGAGGGTTACTGTCATGCCTTCCTGCGTGCGCATTCAAGCAGCAGCAAGTGGTGTTCACAGTGCACAAGCGTGACCAGAGCAGGGCACGCACCAGCACGCTCTGGTTGTCTTCAGCACAAAAGCCAAGAGAGGAGCCAAGAGTGTGAGCTGGCTCCTCAGTCCAGATGGACTTGGGGTTAGGACCGCCAGACGCACTGAAAAATATCCTAGCCATGCAACACAAACACAGCCGTAGGGATCACTTCTAGCAGAGCGCTACGTCTGAAGGTAAAGATTAGCCCCGTGCTGCTACACGCCTATCAACTGTTCAGTGCTTCTTTCAGCTCACTGTTACTGGTTGGCCACCTTAGCTCTCACTAAAGGGACACAGTCTGCGGTTTAGTCTACGCTAACCAGCAAGTTTCTCTGCGCAACTTTGCCAACTATCATCTCTGTGTGCTGGCTGCTTTTATTCTGGTTTTTATTCTTTATTGTGACTGTTTGAATTGTGGGCGCTTCACGGAGTAGGAATTGCAAATGCTCACCGCTTCTAGATTGTAGGAAATGAAACGGTACACTGCCACGATGCTGCGGTCGCGTTCGAGACATTCAAGGCAGTAACGCATGTAGTTGTACTTCAGTGCATGTCCTTTGTGTTGCCAGCAACCAAAAGCATCCTTATTGATTTTTGTTTTGAAGGAGAGAGCACGATAATTCTGAGATCGATACTATGCGCCACTGATGCTCTTGTGTAGCAGCTATGTCAAATAGAGCAATCGCAGACACTCAGTGCTTGGACACACTTCAAGTTTCATCAACCATATTAAAAACCTTCTATCGGGATTCAAGGAAAGAATTTGGTTTTAAATTCTTTTTTATAGCAATCTAGTTAATACTACTTGTAATGAACCTTCTAAATCAGATTAATCAGGTATTTAGAGTTGATGAGGTAGAAATGACATGCAACACCAACTATACCTTTTAGGAAAATGAACAAGTATTTGACTAACAACAGATAGCAAATTATGGTCTAGGTCGTTGTCTAAATCAAAATACATCCAGGTGAATTACTGAGCGCCATAAATTGTCCATTACTTTATAGGATAAAAAGCTTAAGGCTTTCATAGCACACATTTACTGTAGAGAATGATACAGCGAAGGCAAAAGCATTGACCAAAATAAACAAAAACAAGCTTGAAATTCTTACCAGGAATTTTCTTGGCCCAACCAATCATGTGAACCAGCTCTTTGTCTGCCAGTTTTGTCAGGGACATCATCATGGAGGCCTCCGTGAAGGGTTTGCTGGGACGACTCACCAACACATTGGGAGGCTCCGCTTCAAGTAGCGTTAAAACAAACTGTTCCGGACTGACTGTGCTGAGCAGGATCTCTTTTACACGGGTTGCTGTCTCATTGTATTTCCTAGCTTTGCCAATGCAGTGCACCTGATCTTCTGAATTACGGTGACGACGCAGGATCCGGTAGCCGCAACGTTCTCTTCTTGAGCCTGACACGAGAGGCACAGGATTGCACTGAAGCATTTTTCTCTCAGTGTTGCATTATGTAAATCCAAATGTTTGGGGAGAAAGGGGAAAACCGTTTAATACTGGATGTTTTAATATTGAACATCAAGTTTCAGAATTTCTAGAACATTGGCTTAACTTTTTTTCCACTTAATTCAGCTGAGACGTTCGTTTATTCTACTAAGCAAAAAATGTTAAAAAATGTTTATTTTTGAACCTCAGTTAACTCGCTTTAGAAGACCATGGGAAAATTCCCATTGACATCAAAAAGAGATAAAGCATCTTTTTAAATGCAAATAAAGATAGTTGTTTGTAAATTCTGTTTTTAAATTCTGTTTTAGATGTAAACTAGAGCAAGAAAATACTTCTGGAAGTCTGGGCCATGACACAGAGTAAATACCTCAGGCAGAAGCACAGCTGGCCTCACTGCTGGCTGGGTGTTCAGCTAGGGACTTACTGAGGTTCAGCTCATTTTCTCCCTACATCCTGTCAAGCCAGCAGGAGTTTCCCCAAAGCAAATTCAGGTATCGACAACTAGAAGGCGCAGGTCCCCTGCTTGGAGTTCTGCACGCAGAATGCTATTTCTGTGGCAGACAAGTCCTTTAAATTCCTGGACTTAATTTGTTGTTCATTTTGACAACACCAAACATTCTCCAGTTCTCAGTCAATGCAGCTGGTGGGATCACTGTTATCTATTCTTGCACAGTTGCCATGGAAAGACTCTAAAAGCATCTCCAAAAGCATAGCATGGGGATTTGCTAATCAGCCATGGCTTCTACTTCCCTCAACCCTTCAGCATATTCTATAACAAAGGCTATGTTTACTGATTTACAAATAATCCTTGGCAGTATCTAATGCGCAAGATTGTACCATATTAAAAATCAGGATTTCTAAAAATATTAAGTTACTGAAGAGACCCTTAGAGTGGAATCCTCCAGTACTTAACATTTCTAATATCACAGGTAAATTGTCCTCTAAATCTTTCAAAAGTTAATTTTTTGTGCCGATCAGCAACGCTTTTACGGACATACGATACTCAAAGGTCGAATTTTCACAGATATGAAAATGTCTGTGCTAACATAAATCTATACCAGACCAACTTTTATTGCATACATAGAGACCATGGAGTCTTAAAGCATAAGTTGTCACATTTAGTCTCAATCCCACAACAAATTTGACAAAATCATCCTTTCTGCTACTACCTTGACATTACTGTGTTTATGAAGACTTTTTTGGATGTTGCCTAAAGACTTCTTGCCCTGGTCACAGACTCTGGTTCTTCTTCATCATGGCATGTGATTAAATGCTTCATAAAGTTCATGAAGACAAAGAAGCAAAGGAGTGATGAAGATGGAGGAATCCCAAGAACCAAATCAGTGACAAGTACACTGACTAGGCTACTCTCAGGGCTATCGGAGGAGAATGATCAGCCTGTGGTCTGGGCATGACACCCAGCAGATAAGTCAACAGGAAAGGCTTTTCAGTTCCCCTGGAGGGACGAGGCATTCCAAGCCACCTGCTAGAAAGACTAGAGGATCTAGGTGTCAGCTACAAGTAGGGTGAAGGTTTGGACCAGCTGTCAGAGACCTGTTGGGGGGGTGTGAGGGTGTGTGCGTGCCCGAGCGCACAAGAGAGTATGTGCACAGGGTACCTGGAAGAACAGAGGATCCAGGGGCCAGCTACTGCATAACATTGACTTTCTAAAGCAAATTACTGGAGGGATCTGCAGCACAAGTGTGTTTCTGTGACCATCTGTGGGGGAAAAGGGCTGAGTACCAGCAACTGAGCTGAGGCTGCAGACAAGAGGCCACCAGCTGGGGAGACAGGGGGATCCGCAGGCCAACTATTTGACAGGCTGTCTAAACCCAGCTACTGGAAGGATCCATATTGCGTAACTGCTTATATTTTCCACTACTTGCATTCACTTGAGTGCTGCATTTTCTGTCTATGCTGATCTGTGTGGCTGACTGTGGATACAGGTGTGTATATGCCTAATAACAATACATGCTCAGACTTCCTTCTGGACCTGGAGACATGACAATGTGGCAGTTTTCCTTGTCAGGCTACTGGATTCAGCAATTCCTACCATTCTTATCCAGATCAGAGTTATATACACTATGAATTGTCTAAATTCCAACCAGGCAATGCAATTCTGGTCCTGTGTTTCAGTTGCCAAAGAGGTCCAAACATAAGCCAAATTAAAAATAAAGGCAGTGGGGGCACAAAAAAAATAATTTCAGATGCTGTTGACAAGGCTTTGTCTTGCTAAATAAGATGTTGGGTGAATGCAGACTCTCAGTGGTGGAGGTTCCTCAGGAGGTGGCTTTTCAGATAATAGTCCTGTCTTGTCTTCAGCAGCTATTAAAAACCACTCAAGTCAAACTGTGAGAAGGCTGAGATGCAAAGGCCAGTCGGGTACAACCCGAAGGCACTGAAAAGACTGAATAAAGACTAACAAAGTCCGCCAGGACTTCAAGCATGTGGAACTTTCAACTGCACATTGCTATCATCCTCACTTGCTGCCTGTTCAGTAAACCACCTCAGATGTAAAAGTGAACAGGATAACCATTAAAGAAGTTCTCAATATTGGAGAACACCCTCTACCTGGAAAACCCGAGAGACTGGAGAAGACAAATAGGCAAAGCTGGTTCAACGAACAGTCCTCAGGCATGGAGGAATCCAAGTGGAACAAGGCATTTGGAACTAGAAGCATTGTCAGCTGGAAGTCTGCCTTAAAGTCTGCACCATTTGGGGCAAGGATGGTTTTGTATCCTTAAAAGGAATATGGGTAGGTTGAAATAAGTTGGGTAGTGACAGGACGTTTGCAGAAAGGATTTAGATTGAAGGAAGACAATCAATGATTTGCACAACCAAATGCTTAACCAAAGGACATCTAGCTAGAAGTTGCCAGAGCAGCTGGACAGCAGTTAGAGAAAGATAACGTACCATCAGAGACAATGAGAGCTTGAGACATTATCTTACAGTAGATTCGTGAAATCAGACTTGATGATGATACCCCCAAAAAAGGTAACCTGCAGAACTACACAAGTCACAGAGCAATTTCGTCAACCATCTGTCTGGGCAAATCCTTTTCTTCCTGAGAGAGTCAAAGGACAGCAAGGCATAGACTAAATTCTACAAGACACTTGGATGATGTAGTGAACTCTGTGCTAAGCCTCATTTTGGACTAATGCACAAAGGTCAAGAGGAAAATCCTAAAGTGCTTTGTCAGCTTCAAAAACCATTAGAATGGCACAGTAGGCTGTAGACTGCTCTGAAGTCATGTCATGCACAGAAAGTATGTAAATATTTTTCCATCAGGGAAGACAAAGAGGAAAGGTCGACAGTGAGCTAAGCAACTGGAACAAAAGTACAACTCGAGACAGATGAGGAAATGCCTAGGTATCAGGGTGCTCTATCTACTGAGAGATCCATGGCTCTGATTTCCATATGAATGTCCACGGTAGAGATAGTAACCACCAGGAGAGACCTGAACTAAAGCAAGAAGCAACACCGCACACTGTTTCCACTATTTAGAAAGCTGAAGCACATTGAAAGTTGGCATGTTGAAGGACAGAACAAGAAAAACAGCACAGAGGGACTAAAAGCCATAGGGAGATGCACAGCAGAGGAGAAATTTTCTCAGGCTATCAAAAAATACCAACTGTTCCACGACACACAGAGATGTCTCCGGTACCTGGTGGAGCTGTGAGGCCCCCCAAAAGAAGACAGATGAACAGGAGTTTTTTAATTAAACACATGGAAAAGTTGTTCAGTTAGGGACCATATCTAAAATGATAAATTCAGAAAAACTACCGGTTTAAAAGGGAGCTGGGGAGAGGAGGAGATGCCTGATGACACGGAGGAAGAAATTCCAGCAGTTTGGACACACCTGCCAGAAGAAACATGTGATCAAGCAAGCACTTGCAACCAGCTCATTGGCGCTAGTTCAGTTCCTGGCACTGAAGTGAACCAAGTGTGCTCTTGTGGGACTCCACATCCTCTGATCAGATGCCCTCAGCTCTGTCATACTGTCATCCAGACTCCTCTGTGGCACAGAAAATATCAGGCCTTTGGTGCAGAGACCCGAGTTATCCTTTCCAATCCACTGTTGTAAAGATTTTTAAACAACATTTTGTAGCCTATCCAAAATATAAACACACAGGTAAGCGACCAGGTACTTTAATGAAGTCCAACATCCTCTTCTAATTGATACAATCTTCTACAATTTTCTCCCGCCTAGTTGCACTCCAGGCTCCATCTTAAAATAATTCAGTCAGGTTGTGATACTTATTGACAGTATTAAAGGTCTCAATACTTGTGGAGGCTTGTTACTGGGAAATAGTAAGCTGCTTTAAGTTACTTTAGGTTATTTAACTAAATCAAGTTTCATATATAACCAGTACTTATTAAAACCATAAAAACAGTTTCTATAATCACAGCTCTAGTGCAGAAAGACAAACTAGGAGTGTTATGACATTTCTGCATAAAAAAAGACCTTTTACTAAAAAAAAAAAAAAAAAAAGTTGGTGATGAAGGAAAAGTGGGAAAAAAAAACCCACCAAGCAGACTAGATTCTGAATTATTGTTTGTGTCTTTTAATCATCATGTATTGCCAAAGCAGATGAAGGCTGATTCACTGAGCAGTGTGCGTAAAACACAGCTCGTCAGTAATTAAAAGAGATACCATTTATTTCCACATTAAAGTTTATTCTACTTGTATAGAAAAATAAAAAAATAGTGCAATGTAAGATTACACAACTAAGAAAACAAATTTAAGCTTGCTAGCCAATTGACACATCAGAAAGTGGCAGCCTTTCCAATTAAAACAACATTTCAACATCGTAAAGGAACTTCTGTGCTTTATATTCAAATTCAAAGTTTAGGCTGGTCTGAGAAATTTTACCTGTACATCCATTAGCATCCAACGGGCATGTATAAGTGCTTATAAAACTATATATTAGAAATAATTATAGGCCAGCTTAATGTTTGGCTTAACTAGACACAGAGTTGTTGATCAGTCTGTGTGAAGGCACAGCAATAAAATACTCACAGCTCCCCGGATTAGGGACTATTTCCAGCTTTACCACAAACTTTCTAACTAATAGCTAATAGCCATTCATATAAAGGTAATTCAGGCAATTGGAGAAGTGCACAAGATGATCAAATCCCTCATTCTTCCTACAGCACTCCTCTTATTTAGAGCTATTCTTTGCACCAGAAAATAGCCGTATTCAGCTGAGAATCCTGGACTAAGGGCAAGACCTCGAGCTACAGCAGCACGGACCACATGGGTAAATGAACACAAGAATATAAGAAATAACCTGCATTGAATAAAAAAGTCATTAAAATGAGCCTGTTGTTCACTCTTCCACGAACAAGCCACAACAGGTATTATTGGCAATGAAATATACCATTTTTAAAGCAATTCCTGCTTTACAAATTCTTTGAAAAGTGCCTCTGCTGTCTGGTATGGTGAGCAGTTGCATGGCATGTGGCTCTTCATGTTGATTTTGGTCCCTGGCAACTGCTTATGTGACTAACCAGTTCAGCAGCAACTGCCATTTCTACCACTGAATGTATTATAATCAGTTTTTGTAAGTGTTTGAGCTTAAAACTCACTCAAGTATACATTAGTAAATCATTATCTCTCCAGTCACCTTTGAAAGCAAATGCAAATGTTCTGGTGAGTACGCCCTTATTCACAGAGCAGACCTATTGACAAAGAAGCTGTCATCTGCCATACACACATGAGAACACTAGCTGAAATTACAGCAATTTCTGTAACGGGTAAAAAACAATTAATACACCTGATGTCCAGAGAATGCCATGAAACATTTGTTCCCTACTTACTTTCTGTGTAAATTACAGTATTTCAAAGTGCAATCCAGAACCTGCAGACAGCAGCCATGCACAGGAGGAAAAAAGAGCCAAATCCTGAACCCTATCAGCCCACAGAGAAGTCTGGTTTTCTTGCTGCAAACTTGTCGAATGATGCCAGTATTCAAGGGCAGTATCTCCCCATCAGTTTTTAGTGCGACTTCTCAGCCTCCTCATTTGGGGCAGGGAGGGGGCAGAAAGGAGCTTTATTATTTGGAAGATTTTCAACACATTCAGAACTGGCACATGGGGAAAAAGCAGGCTGGGAGGGCGAATAAAGCGGTAAGTTTGGTCCAACAGGGAAACTGAAAACCCCTTATGGAATAAGGTCTATCTGAGCCTCAGGAAGCGAAAAAGAAAAGCATGAGCATAGCTGCCCCCAGAGTGGCTGTAGCCAACTGATGAAGCAACTTCGCTCTTCTCTACTGCCTTTGGCAAACAGCCCAGTCCATTCCAGCTCCCCAGGTAAACACCAGAAAGCTTCAAAAGAAGATCAGTTTTATCCCAATTTGTTTTATTCGAGTTTGCTGGGCAGAGTTTACTGCAGTATTTCTGTTTTTCTTTGCTGCTGGTGACAGTGCTTTGCAATTATTCTTCTACCATTGCTACTAGTCTTAGTGCCAAAATTTAGCAGTAGCTTCCTTGATCAAAACAGTAGGCAACACAGACTTCCTACAGATAACTTTGTAGATGCAGTGTGTAAGACCCTCATTGTGCTTTTGGCAATGATGGTATATTTTGTAAGAAAATCCATTATCACCTTAACACAAAGCACCACCAAGCTAGCCTCCACTGAAATACTTGCAGCTTGTTGGGTTGACTTCTCGACGTTCATGAATGCGATGACATCCAAGAGAATTTCAGACCAGGAAACTCCAAAGTAACACTTTCCTACTGCCTCCTGCTGTCTCAAAGACAGCATGTACTGCCTAATCGCATTTACTCATAGAAATGTGTGCTATATATACACACACAGACATAGACGTGTATTTTTTCTCAAGGTGTCTATTGATAAGATACAGAACGAGGATTTAAAGATTTGATACAAACAGTGCAGAGCTTTCATAAACTACAAAGTGGTAATTAAGGTTCTTTTATCACTTCTGCTGGACAAGTCTCCACCGAGCAAAAATGCACTTAAACCATTCTATCCTATCCAGGGTTTTAGCAGATGTGAACCAATGCATTCACTAAGTGACCTACGAAAGGAGCAGAGATGGGGAAAAACCTTCATTAAAAACAAAATGTACTCCTTTATGGCTTTCTACAATAAAAAACTGGTATTAAAGCATGGGTCTAACAAGAAAGAATTTGAAAGATAATCACTCTTGTCTGCAGGAAATGGCATTTACATCTCATGCAAGAAATAGTCTTAAAATCTGTCTGGTCTAAATGTCTGTCACCATGTGTCAACGCATCAGCATTACTCACAGGTGCCAGTTAACTCATCAGGCAACTCAGAGAATTCTGAGTAATTTTTATATTCCTTTTTCTGAACTTAAATTGTTAAGACTCTCAAATTAAATTCTCAAGAGTCTCAAATTTCAATGCTACTATTTAAAAACCTAATTTTTTAAAAATACCATTCTTGCTATTTTCCTGTCATAGTTTCAAAGTGTTAGTTTTGCTCTGGCACAGTCATTAATTTCCTATAAACATTCATTATTGTAGAAAAATATGTTTATGAATATGTGACAAGATTAAAAAGAACACAGGCTAAGACATAAGTACATATTATTATTTATTACTTGTAATACCATAGCGCCTATGAGGTCTAATCACAAACCAGGACTTCCTGAACAATTAGAATAAAAGGATTAATTTAAGGAAAGCATTGTGGAGGACCACCTTATAATATCACACTGGAATCAATCTTTACAAAAACTCTCCAACTCCAGAACTGGGGCTTGATAGAAACCCCTCTTGGAAAAATGTTGAGTCATAGAATTCTTAGTCATAAAGATGAACAAGAGCCAGTCACACCATCCAGAAAGTAAGGTTTTGAAAGGAGCCTCAATTCTAAGTGTAAGGCTTTCCTTTCTGGAGGCCAGACAGCAAAGGTAGCTAAGACCGTACTAATGAAAAACACCAATAAAGTTGAGATGCATCATCAGTGCAGAAGATGACAGGAGCTTCATATGGAAAGAACCAGTTGTCTTGAGCGACAGAAACTAATTTTACTTCAGGAGTACAAAAGTAATACAAGGAATAATTGAAATTGTAGCTCTAAGCTGGGAGTTATCAGCTAGAATTGAGCAGGGAGGCTGCAATCATAACAGCTCATACAATGATTATGAACTGCCAGTGTGATGCAACCACGAAAAAGGCAAATAGGATCCTGGGATGAGAAATGAAATGAGACGCATGCCTGCAAATCACAGAGGACCAAGCGCAGTAACCTTCTCTTTTCCACTCCAGTATTCCTATGTGATGTTTTCCCAGCCTATTTCTATCATGTACATTGGGGAATCTGTAAGAAATAACAACAAACCTTGACTGTGAAAGTACCTTAGAAGTTGAAGTATCTTTCAAGTTATTTTCATCTTAAAAGTAACCTTTAAAATATCATCTATAAATGTACAACTACACTTGAAGTCACATCACTGTAGGAATAAGAGAAAAGGCTGGATAATTCTGAGTGGTGCAGTGACAGTGGTTGTTCACTGCTTCTTTTGACGGAAGAGCTGCAGGACACCATATGACAACAGCCTGTTCAAAAAAAGAACAGCCCATCCACAATGGTTGGACCTGATGATCTTAAAGGTCTTTTCCAACCAAAATGATTCTATGATTTTCCTCGCTGCCCCACCGAAGCCCCACAAAAAAGCCTGGCAATCAGAGAGCTGGCTCTTCACATGACAGGCGGTCAAGCTGCTATGGGATGTTGTAGATGCTAAGACTTTACAGGATTAAAAAGAGGGACAACGGAAAAGTTGCCATTCTATTAATACAGTAAGACCTATTAAACACAAGACAACTCTTCTAGACCAGAAGTCCTCAAGTGCTACTTTTTGCAAGCTGAGGGTTGTCAGCAGTAGTTTCACTTAGATGCTAGTCTCATTCTCCAGAGGCATTCACTCTTGCCACTGTTGGATGCAGGGTGCTGGGTGAAATAACCACTGCTTTGACGTGGCACTGCTCTTCTTGCACTACATCCAACCAGCAGAGCACAGTACAGGCTCACTTACCCCATATTAGAAGGGATTGCAGTTTGGTTTGAGGCTCAGGCAGCAGCAGGTCTTGGGTTCCCATTCTGCAGAACACAGCATGCAAGTAAACTGCCTTCACAGAGCTCTGCAGAGGTACTATGGTTTCCATGTGCTTAACCTACACCTTATTCCTTCCCACAGGTTTTCTTCTGAAAATGAAAAGTCTTCTTCTGCTTTAAGAACTGGTACATTCCTTCCTATAAAACCAGCTTAAACCTTGCTCTAATTGCCTGTTGTGCCTTGGTAGGATTTAAAAAAAAAAAAAAGGAAAAAAAAACTATAGGGAATTGACTGAAGGGGAAAAAAAAAAAAAAAGCCAGCAAAACGCAAGCAAACATGCATAACTCACCACATTTCATCATTCCCACTTCATAACATTTCCGCAGCCGGCATGCCTGGCAGCTCTTGCGCCTGTTTTTGTCTATCGTGCATTGATTGGTAGCTGGGCAGATGTAATCGTTATGTCCTGCAGCAAAGTAACAAGAGGAAATTTAACGTCTCCAACAGTCTCCCTTAGTCATTTACCAAATCAGGACCTTCTTGATTTTAAACACCTCAACTTTTTCATATGCATATATCTAATCCCCATTAATTTAACTGATGGGAAAATGCATATTTATTCTGTATTGAAAACATCAACCTGTGGCCTCAAACACTAACCAGACAACATAGACCAGCTTTTAGCCATGGCTGTTAGATAACCAAGCCTCTTCTAACACCAACTCATGTTTGAAAACAGGACATATGCTGTTGTGGAAATTTGCTCCCAACCTCCAACTTCTTACTGTCTATTGGGACTCTACAGATGGCAGATAGTAGGGGTTTTTTCCTCAGCAGAGTGGAAAACAGCCACACATACAGCTTCAGTCCTGCAAAGATTTCAGTAAGCTACCGCTCTATTTACTGAACACTCTGACATGGTGACTTCCAGGAATGAAGAAGCCTTTGGAGGATTGACCCTGTACCAAAGTTAATACAAAAAAGCAGCCCAAGAGGGAAAGAAGACTAGCATCAAATAATGCATACTATATAGTACACAGAAAAGCACAAGCACAACTTTTAGATATTATGGACAAGTATTTCTCTTATTTTCATCAGTGTCCGCTACAGCCTCTTCTTTTCTCTTCTTCTACTCTCCCACCTCACCCCACCTCACCTCCACCCAAACCCCTTTACATTATTGTATTTCACTAATCAATAATCTGGTCCAAAGGTTTATTACTGTAAACTAGACTCGAGTAAGCTGTTGGTGTAAACACAGTCGAACCATCTCCTGCCAAATACTGGAAATCTCTCTTGCAGTAGTTACCAAAGGATGCAAAAAACATTCACTTATTTGCATTTCTTAATGTTTTTTCTCTCAGGTTGTTTCTTAAGTTATTTTTTTAAAACTTTAAGAATAGACCAGGCAAAGATACAGCTACTGGATTTTTTTTTTTGCTTGATGCAAGTCCAAGAGTTCATGTCCCCAAAAGTAATTATTTAACTGAACCATTGTGACTATTTCCTTGCAAAATTAAAATAATTTCAACCTTGAATTTTTGAACCGACAATTTTAAAAGGAAGAGATCAGGTTACAGTTTGTCCCATTTCCTACTGGCAGATATGGCTGAAAAACAAATTACTGTTTATCACTTCACACAACATGGGGGGAAAGGAGGAAGCTCTCCGTTGCGCTATAACCCAAGCACACAGGAGTATAAAGTGACTTAAAACTCCTGTGGCCTTGGGAAAATTTAGCTTGCAGGCAGATGTTCAGAGTTGTGGGATGAATACACTACACTACAAACTTGGACAAGCAGAGGAGACCACACACAGTTGCTCAGTCGTACCATCTGATTTTAATTAGACATTAGCCCAACATTCTGGTCTATGGTAGGCCCAGAAGTTTTTTATTTTTATAAGCAATATGCTTCATAACAACAGTTGCAACTGAGTGCTTGGTAGTGTTTTATGCCAAGAACTTACTTTCATTTATTTGAATTACAAACAAACGTTACCTGACAGGGTACATTAAGGTGTACAAAAGGCCACAATCGGTAACTTGTTCATGGCCAAAGCACACATGAGCAATATGGAGCAGGCAAGTAATTTTCCTGACAGAAAACACTTTGAGATCAAAATCAGTCTGCATTTGTGACAAACTGGAGACAAAGTTCTCTTCAATTATTTTAGAAATGAAAAGTACTTGCACCAGTTTGTAGAAATTGTTATTCACCCATGCAGAACTTGCACAATAATTGAAAAGGCAAACAAGTTTTGAATTAAATTTGATTCTAATGGTGACACCAACTCTGCTATACTGAGCCAAAAGAAAATATCTCAAGATTGCTAAAGGCTTTGTGTGCAGAAGAGGAAGGGAAATTACAGACAGAAAACCAATGGGGTTTTCTGTGTTAGTAACCGCATGCTGTATCCAACGTGCATGTAGTATCCAATGAGCATGTCATATCCAATGTCCATCCAAACAAGTTTCCACCAAGAGGCCCCAGATGAGGCTAAAGAATGTGATAATGTGCCAATGTGACAGCAATGAAGTGGTCCAAAGCTGCAATACGGTGCGTAAGTCACTGCCCCTAGGCTGTGGTAACAAGCTTGGAGACATACATTTACTACGTACTGCAGCCACTCAGCAAATTTGAACTAAATACCAAATATTTAAGAATTTGAACACTGAAGTGGAAATCTTGGATGGAGAGATCTGGCAGAGTAAGAAATACTGCAATGGAGGCTCTTGGGGGTGGAGGGCTGAGAAATAACAATAATCCGGTTTGTACCTAATACTTGCTACACATATTTTTATATCCTACATACTGTGTAGATACTATATGCTATGACTCAACAACTCCAGGCCATATACTCTTGTCAAGAATAGTTCCTGGCAAGCAAAGTCTCCAGGCAATTACCTACTCTATCTGTGTGTATTATAACAAATCCACCACAATTACTATGTCTACTCTGGGATACAAACTGCAATCAGATTCACAGGTCTGCAGTGCCATCCCATCGATGCCTTTGCTGCAGGGCCTTCCCATGCTATGTATTCCACCTCTTTAAAGAAACCAATTGCTCACTTTGTAATGTTTCCAGATCTTGATAACATAAGAGCCAAAAGTAGCCAAATAATGTGTTGCTCTATTTTCAGCATGCAGCACCATACACGAGGATTTTAGGTCAACTCATTGCTAGGTCAGCCTCTGCAGCCCCTGATCATATGAAACAACTTACTTAAGTAAAGTTATCAAAAGCTGATTCTCCTACCTTGAATACTTCTTTTAAAGAATGCTTTGCAGCCTTCACATGACCAGACCCCATAGTGGTATCCCGAAGCATAGTCACTGCAGACTGCACAAAAGTGGGCATCCCTTTTTGAGCCAGGATTATTTGCAATTGGGCTTGTACAGTCATTGCCATTACTTTTCCTTTTTAATGTTTCTCTGATAGAAAAGAAAAACATCTGTTATAAAAGAGGAAAAAATTAATCTACATTGCAAAGGGTTTCATTATTTTCCACAGTCTTCTATTCTTTCTATAAAGTCTTCTTATCACTGAACACAGGATAGTGTGAAACACTGTTAAGCCTTTCTCTGATAAGGTTACTTAATGCACACAGTCTGATGCTAAAGCTTTCAGTGTTGACAGACTATAAAGTTTTAAAACACTCAAAGGCAAAAAACTGGACTGCTGATGCATCATTCACATGAACTCTGGGAAAATCATATGGAATGCTGACAGATCTTGGAGAATTGCTGGAAATGTACAAGTCCAGGAATTTGTGAACCAAGTGGACTTTCCCTTTGGGAAGCTTCACATGGAAAGTGCAGATTGAGACAGCTTGGACTAACATGCTAAACACTGCCAGGAACAGAGCTGCAGTTGCTTTGCACTGTTAGCAAGGCAAAATTCTAGCTGGAACAATACACATCTAGTCTCAAGGATTTAATCCTTTAAATGAGGCTTTGTTCATTCAATGGGATGCTGGAGACAAATACCTTGAGATGTGAATCTCAGCCTACAAGATCAACCGACAATGTTAGCCAAAGTTTTCTGTTCAAGGTGTCAACCCATGTTGATCATGCTAATGCTAAATAAAAGGAAGTCTGAGTACAAGTAGAATGGAGAAACACAATTAATGGAATACTTTCATACATAAAAATAATTATTGCTCCATATAAATTAGTATGACATAGGCATTAAAAAAAGTAGTTCCATCTTACTGGAACTATTCTTAGCAGCTGGATTAATATTAGAACAGGATAAAAACATGAAATAACAGCCAATTCGTGATACCAAGATCCTGTAAACAAACACCAAGAGGAAAGGAACTTAGATTATCAGTAAAGTGGATTTTAGTTATAGGAAGCACATCCATTGTGTACTTTTTCCCTGGACCTCATTTTCCTGGTGATTTTACCATGTCTTATCTTCATGGTCAACACAGCTTCTAGACAGAGAGAAAATACTGTCATGTGCAAACTCTCAGCAGCAGTTTGACAAAAGGAAAGCTGTATAGTCAACTCATAGGTGTAAACCTAAACACAGAGGCAGGAGTTAGAAACTGTAGAATTTTCGTCATCCCACCTTCCAGCAGGATTAGGGAGGAGAAGAAATATCAGTTGGGGTAAGACAGCAGGTAGCACAGTTTACAACTTCTAAAGAACAATGGTACATTGCCAGGGCAGAAGAAAGCTGTTCACCAACAAGAGCAAGTTTAAACAGAACAGCAGAAACATGCTGAAAGTGCTGTCAAAGAGATTTTAACTAACATATTAAAAGTAGACTTTTTGCTGGTGTCATGACAGGAGGTAAGGACAAACACACCCACATGCCAACTAAAAATCATCAAGTATTTGAGGAGAACGTGTTCTGATTTCCTAGTAGAACATTTAGAAAGGCAAAAAGGTGGTTCTTTCAGCAAATGCCAAAACCGAAAAAATAAGGTATTTGTTGTACAACTAAGTTACCACAAGCTTTGAAAAAACGTTAATTTGTTCAGATACCGCAGGGCATAGGGGTGTTTGGACGTTTGACGAGCCCGGTCTTTGATCACACATACACAACCCCGTTAATGGATTTCTGAATCACTAAGTTATTTCCCCTTCTGCCATGCTGGGAAGACCAGTGTGGGGAAACTCTCCCTTAGAATAAAGGGACTGTATCACACATGCCTAATATGCTGCTAAAACAAGCAGGAAAAAGCATTGCTAGTCCTTCCCTTTTCCCTATATTCGGAAGGAAAAGCAATGTGGTGTTTCACATTAGTAGAAGAGGTACATTTATAAGCTCTACTTGGGAATCACGATCCAATTGTGAGAGTCAGAAGAGAATCAAAATCAGCTAGAGAGCATCTCAGTGACTGATTGACATGCTGTAGAGCGATGTTTATTGCCCTCGTTAAAGCACTGAGATGTTATGGATGAAAATAAAGGAAAAGTACACACCGTAACAACTCACTGAGGAGTGTTGTTTTTTACCTTCCAGTCATGACAAGTGTTTTAAAAAACACTTTTTCTTTCCTTGCTTGAAAGTTTAACAACAGTCACCCTGCACACACGCAAGCTGCGCGGCTTCCGCAGACTGTGGCAAACAGCTTGCACACAGAGCCACAATCTGGAACGAATTCCTCCTGCAGACTGAAGGGGCATCAAATCCTCTCATCTGCCATAGCTGCAGCAGTGCAGCAGGAGGTTCAAACCCAAAGATTTTGTTACTGATGTCTTTACACAACTAGGAAAAAGTTGAAAGCTTTAAGGCAGACGTTCCTTACCCTGAGAACCTGCAATCAGACGACGTACCCATACCAACAGCAAACTGGAGCGGGTAGCACCACCCATGGTTAGAGACCACCTCCCAGTGCTCCTGGGACTGGCGCACTCTGGCACGCTCAGCAGATGAATGAGCTGCCAGGTGCCCCAGAAGAACTGGCAGTAGCTGGCTGGATGCCCACAAAGCTCCTGCACCAAAGGATGCAGGAAAATGGGGGATGTTCCCTGGCCGCTACCGAGGAAACACGTGGACAGAGTTGTACTGCTTTACGTCTCCCAACACTCCTCTCTGTTTTATGATCATGGTTGCTATATAGAGATACTATGTGTCCATAAAAAGAATTAAGATTTTTTTGAAAGTAACAAGTCAGTGATTTCCTACTAGTCCTCAACAGTGACAAGATGATTACCCTGAAGGAGAAGGAATGAGCAGGACTATTGAGGTTATTCAGTATCTATCATGTTTCCTAGTTATCTTTAGCTTTTCCACAGCGTTTGATACATAGGCCACACCCAGAAAACTCGAACGTAAATCGGACTTTTTATTAAAAATGAAGAAGGGTGGCAAGGATTTGACCTAGAAAGTAGCAAGATTTGCTCATGGCACTTGTTGTCTGTAAGGTTTTTTAAAAACCTAAACTAGTGTATACTATAAAAAGAAATAGAGAAAAAACAACTAAGAAATTAAAAAAAAATAATCCATTAAGTCAAAAATTAATAGTCCAGATTTATAATTTCTTATAAATCTTCTCTCCCTTCCACAGGCCACTGACTCATTCAGTGCCTGGAGAAAATTCAATCCCATATGAGGCTAAGATGTAGAATGAAGAAGGCTCTTCCGTTCTCTCCCAAACTGTGTGCAAGATGATGGGCAAAAATCAGCTGAAGAATACTTTTAATCTTCCTCATTTTCTAGACACTCCCTCCATCATAACTTCTAGAATTGTTAATACCACACAACTGTCAATATTTGTATCTCCAAAGCACAGGTTCTGCTATGCTCCAAACATTGATGAATATGCTGAAAAACATGTCACAGATACCTCAAAAATAAGAGACATATTTTTGCTTAATCTCTGTAACTATTCAGTCACTAAATGGAGATGCCAACTCATCCTCAGAGAGACTTCAAGATACATTTAAATGCTCTACAGAATGAGCACAATAAAAAAAGCATAGAAGAACAATGCAAATAATTATGGCTTCAGAGTAGAGTTTAAGCAATGTATAAATACGATATTAGTTCACAGTGAATAGGACAAAGTTACTAAGTAGTTTCTAATTAAGCAAGCATTGCTAGCCTGTGTACCCAAACCCCTTTACTTACACAGTCTATCTGCAAACCTGTCAGAAGCACAAGGAAAATAACAGAAAAGAAGAACAAATTAAGTTCCAGAAAGATCACTCTGGCATCTTCATTAAAGTTTCCTAATACTTTTTAGAAAGTAATATATCTGTTCATCTTGAAAATAAAGCTTTTGTTTCTTTAATTAAAATCCTTTTATTTAGGGGATGAAGACAGAAATCAATTTCAGACTACTTTTAAATATGATATAATTACACTGTCACATTCCTTTTCTCTTCATGTTATTTTAACATAAATTGAGCAATCCTGCACCAACAAAATTTATGAGAATATTTCTATTGTCTTCACTAGGTACAGGATCTATAATGCAAATAAATATAGTAGACTTTATCAACAAATTATTGCCATTTTGCACAAAAAATGGAACTCTAAAAATTCTCATATATTTTTACAAGGAGTACAGTTCATTTCTGTTGCACTAGTGGTGCAAAGGAACACTACACTGCATGACAGGACAAAGGTTGGACTCGATGATCTTGAAGGTCTCTTCCAACTGAAACTGTTCTATGATTCTATAATTCTATAAATAATTTTTTTCTGTATTCATATAATGAATCTATTTGTGAGAAAAGGGAATGCTGAGAATTCAGGTTCCTTATTTTAAGCTGATATACAAGGAGATCCAAGTGACACAGTGACCAACTTTAGCAAAGTGGACTACATTAGTTTAGCTAATGTTAACAGAAATTTACACCCAGGGAAAATAAACTCCTCTCAAGGTGAGACTCTTGCTTTATTTTGAAAGGTAAAATAAAATGTGTAACAGCCCTAAATATGTAGCAATGCTTTGTTACTCATCTTTCAAACAAAATCCCTTTTCTCGAACTACAACACTGTTTAAAATTACTTACACTTTACAGCATTAGTCTCTCCCTTCCCCCAGAGCTATTCCTTTAAGTTTCAATCCCATGAACTCTTCCTTCAAGGTATAAGCTGTGAATCTGTAGTGTCACAGTCATTGTTCCCATGGCAATACATATAACGTTCATGACAAAAATTTAAGACCTCACCAAAGGATAAAGCAAAAGGCAACATGGGGCTTTTTTTCTTTACAGCCTTATTTCAGGACAAATATCCTCGATAAGGGAATTACAGGTCTTGCTTTTTGTGTTTTCATGTAAGATTTTTTTTTTCTGTTTTACAACTTCTGTACACAAAGGGGGGTTACAATGCTCTCAATACTGAGACAAATGAACCAGTGAGAAGGTCCAGCTACCAAGCAACACAGTAGTTACTTGCTCCTGAACTATAAATATCATCCACAAATTTAGACTCCAGATTTCATTGATTTCTCCTCTTCAAGTTAGGGCATCATCAGCCGTAAAAGCAATAGTCTGTACGAATCTATTCAAATGGCAGAAAACTTATTTTCTTAAACTCCACTGTGGCAGGTTTGGCTTCCCTTCTGCCTATGTAGAGAGCACACTGCAGAGCATCAGATGGGGCGCTCTTGTTTTTGGGTTCTTCCAGCCGCTGTCCCATCATCTACAGCAGCCTTCCCAGGGCTGTTGAAGTTTTGAAACATTGACCAAAGCAGGAAGAGTTTGGATGTTAGCCCTATTCACATTAGACCTGCTTGGGCAATCCTTCTGTATATGAGTGCTACCCAAACGGCCTCTCCCACACACCTACACTTAGAGTAGATTTGCACTCCAGAACTACCGGCTACTCTCTGCTGACTCCAAAGAGAAAGTAGCCAGGGGGCCGGGCTGAAGATCTGTGCAGCCTACAAGTCTGAAGTAGATGTAGATCTCATGCCTTAACCCTCTGCAGTCAACATAAGGCCCAGCCATTGCAGAAGGAATGTGGGTAGTCTCAAAAATAGCACAAATCCTTTATTAACAATTGGACTAAAACTGTTGCCAGGACACACTATTTCTCATACTGACAATGACTGCTGAGGTTAAATTTAAGGAGTCCTATGAATAAACATACAGCTGCTAAAACAGGAACAGCACCTGCAACACTCTGAGCTTTCATCCATCCAACAGCTGTTGTGCCCATGAATGGAGTAATTTCATCAGCTGATGATCTACACACGGCTTATCCTTTGTAGTATCAGTAAATGTGCAGAATGGGAACATGTTTTTGCAAATACAGTTTCTTTACAACTGAAAAATTAGCCCATCAATCTACTGTTCACAACACCTTCATAAAGTCAGTGGAGAGCAGCAAGGAGAAACAATGTCAGACTTTTCAGTAGTGGCACCCTTATGAACATGATGCATGCTGCTATACGACAATACTAAAACCAAAAATCAACCAAAAATCAAAGATAACATTTCACTTGAATTCTAAGTTCATGAAAAGCCTTCACATCTGTTAGATGCAGTAACCAAAAAAAAACCCCAACAAAAACCCCAAAATCTCCAGATAAAATGGAATTCAAACAAAGTTGTATGAAAAAGAAAAATGAATGAACCTTTACTTCTTTCACTCAAAGGACTTGATTTTCTAGTGCAAAATTAATTTTCATTACACAAAGTAGTACCTAGCAGTCTTGAACTTTTGTTTATACAGCAAACAGTTCCCACACTGAAGGCATTTGTAGTGCTTTGTGTCAGTGTATATAGTTCCTCAACAAGCTAATGAAAAAGAAATCCTATTTCAGAAGTTACATTAAAAAACCCCACAAAACCCAAGACTGATTTGGTGTTTGGTGGACAATTTTTGGTTTTGTTTTGTTTTTCAGAGACACCAACACAAAGAAGTCAAATGTAAAAAGAAAAGATTTAAAAGAACTAAAGAAAGTGTAAAGAATTTTCAGCAAAGTTTTAAAGAAACAGTACTGACCTGGTCACAGGCAGCACCGGCTCCATCGGTCTTGCTTCGCACCACGGACTCTTTGGCTGCTCTGCATACAGAAGCGATGACTGACAGTGCAACGTCAGAGGGGAGAGATGGCCAGGAGCAGACCATAACGCATTGGGGCTGGTTGTTTGCCTCACAGATGCACTCTCTGAATCACCAAAATTGCTGGTAATGTTGTAATTCATCATAGCAGGACTGCAGAATGCCATTGCAGAATATTCATGTCTGTTTTCCATGTAAGATGAGGGAATATAGACTGGACTGTGTTCTGTTGTCAACGTGGACTGATTACAGCTGTAGGGAACTGGAGAGACGATACCAGCGGGTGAGTTTTTAATTTCTGTTTTATTGCATCCAATATCCTGAAGTGGCAGCAACTGAGAAAAGTCCTTGTGAGAAGGTGCACACAGAGACATTTTGAAGCAAGACTGAAGATTGTTCTTTAAATATTCATCCTAAGGTGGTAAGGTATAAAAAAAGTTGAATTAAAAAGTAAGAAAGTTCTGTATTAACTCTTTTCTATAAAAGGGAAAAGGAATCAGTAAAACAGAAAATATAAAAATATCCTATGAAAACAGCTTACGTACCAAATGCACTAGTCAGTCAATGTGCAAATTTACTACCTTTAAGAAAAAGAAAGCTTTCTAGAACTTCCTTAAAAATAAAGACTAAGACACACACTGAGTTCAGACTCCCTTAAAAAATAATAATAAAAAAACCCCTAAACCAAAACAAAACACTTGAAGTCTGAAACAAAGATGCCAGTAGCAACTTGGATCTTAACAAAAGTCACTCATTACAGCCAGGGTAAAACTACTCTAATGTCAGAAGTAAAATTAGCCTACAGTCCCCAGCTATGGAGTGAGTGCCCTGAAAAATCAATTCTCTTTATAAAAACTCACCACCTCCTGCTCCTGCTGTAAGTGAACTGCCTCAGCTTACCCTTCATCCACACAAACATGTAACAGCAGATATTTCTGAGAACACACAAACGCACAGACGCATCTCTTTTACCTTCCAAAACCAGAACTCCACTGTGCATCCCTCTCCACAGAGGAGGAAGATGTGTAGTGGATGTCAGTGAGCAACGCAACTTCATCACTGAGAGGTCCCTGGATATGGTACCTCTGAACAGAGCCATTATAAAAGCAGAAGTCACAAAATGCAGATACGTCCAAAGCTGACAACACAGAACTCGAGTGACTTCATAAGGTCTGGAAGTTTTATAATGCCCTGCCACACTCCACGCCCATCCCAACCACTCTCCATCCTTCCTCCCATCTGAATCAACTGTCAAAACAGAGACCTTAATCTGTCCACACTAAATACTTTTTGCCAGATTAAGGTATATCCAAACTATTTAAAGGAGAAAAAAATTAGAAAAAAAACCCAAAAACCCCAAATCACCAAAACCATCCTCCTAAGACATAACCCCTGTCCTGGAAGCATTACTTTTACAGTAGCGTTTAAAAATAATTTTATTCTTCATTATGGATTTCATCTGCAATTCTTTTCAGCTTTGAAGACAGACATGCAGCCCTTTTACAGCTTGCAATCCAAAAAAACTCTGTTTCCCAAATAGCAAGTCCCAGCCCCCAGAACTGATATTCTAGTGTACTTTTACAGATGGTAATAAGATCTTACCATGAAAAATCACGTGATAATTAAGAAGTCACCCAAAGTTTTGCTATTACAGAAGTGGCTGAAGTATTGATGCTAAATATTCTTACCTTTTTTCACCTCATGCGACCATAAAGCAAGATGAGGAAGATTCAAAGGCAGGTTTGCTGAAGTACCAGCAATGTCCCTGTCCCAAAAATTCTCAGCCAGATGGTATTTCTAGTATGCCATCTTGGGGCACTGAAACATTTTTCTCCTCTAGGGCCAGGGCCAAGGGTAGAAGCATTAACAAAAAAAAGGTAAGAAATAGTCTTTTTGAATAAAATGGATAGTTTAGGGTCCGTCCTTCCTTCTCACTTTGCACTCTGTTGATGAAACTGAAGATATCTGTAGAAATAACCAGGAACTCACTTAAATCATCTCAGGCGCTTCAAACCCAGCTGCTGTTTTTTCCTTTGTGGGAAACAGGAAAACGAGATATCTCAGCAGCTGTTTATGTCCAGCAGTTGTTGCACTGGAACTCTGATCCAGCCAAAGTGGGAGAATCTGACCTCACTCCTCGCACAATCTACACGCTCCATTTGCCCCAACCAGATGCTTCATGGTCTCCTCTAAAAGAAACCAAACATCATTCAACTCTCCCTGCAAAAGGCACTAAAAATCTCAAAGGCACTTTCACACCCAGATTATGGGGTGAATACCCCAAATAATTAAGCAGCAAATGATGGAACTAAGAAATTATCTTAAAGACTGTTTTCAGTGGTTACTCACAACGGGCCCAGTGAGCACACTGAAATCAAAACATGTTTAAAGCTTCTGTGTAGGTAAAGCTGTATACTGCTAGCAATCTCAGAGGCTGCATGTATTCAAGGTGTGCATGGACACCCTGCAGGAGCATCTGGAATTGTCCAGCAACAGCTGACTGCACGAACTGCATCCCTCTGCTTCCCTGCAAAGGGCACAGAGTGCAGGCTAATCCCAAACCCTCCTGAGAGAAGGGCCTGAAAGGCATTACAACAACATCTCTGTTCCAGTCAGCTAGAGACAGTCTGGTATGATACTTTGATGCTTTTTGCAACTGATTGCGTAGTTTCCCTCAGACCTTTGGAAAAATACATGCATGTATGCTGTAGAAGCAGAGACAACACAGAGCTGGTACCACACAATTTCATGAACTGAAATCAACTGAGCTTTAAGTCGTGTTTTTCTGGAGAGGTAACCCAGTAGAGTGGTATGAAGGATAACTGCCTGTTTAGCAGAAAGACATATTCTCTCCAAAGGGCAACACACAATATTTAGAAACATAGACAGAAGTTACAAGAAGCAAGAGTGAAGTTTGTTGTAGAAGGATGAGCCCACGCAAGGATGAAGAGTCAGTACAGCCTTCCTCAAAACCAGACTGCTCATGACTTATTGACAAGAGAAAGGACTCTGGGTTCCAGGTTAGAGAAAACTCATGGTCTCAAGCAGACCGCAATACAGTGAAAAAATAACAGCATTGGCTTAAGATAATTAACCTGGGTCATAGAAATAGTTTACTCACAGTAGACCATGGATCTACAGGAGATCACATTGTTCACATTTCCTTATGCCTAGAGAATTTAGAGCAGGAAGCCCAGAGCCTCACAAATAAAGTAAAGCTGCCGAAATTACCCAGTACTGCTCAGAAGGTCCTAAAAACTGACTGCTGGACTGTGAAGTTCTAAGGACTGCGAAGTTAAACAAGGACTGCAGATTCAGGGAACGAGATCATAAGATCTAAGGCTAGAGAAAAACTCCACTAACACCAATACCTGAGAAGGAAGCACGACCACATTTAAGCCGAGGACTTTGGTAAGTAGTGCAACAGGGTAATAAATTTGTTCCGTCCTGGTATAATGTCCTCATATCTTAAGCACCATTCATTAAACAGAAATTAACTCCTACATAAAGTGAACTCCCATTCCAACATCTCCTTCTCCTCTGAAGAATGATTTTAAAAGCCAGATTCAAATTTAAAGTACATTATTTAGATCTAATTTACCAGCACTGCACTAGGTCTGTATTAGACACAGAAACAAACCAGGTCTCCGTTATTTTTATACTACAGTCTTCTGGGAGACTGCAAATGTTTCAGTCCACTTAAATCAGCACAACTTAGCAAGATACTCAACAACTGAAATGCCATTATTAAGTAAATAGCCATTTTGTCCGATTCCTTGAGTAACACTTACCATTCACAAATCTAAGTCACTAAGGGCAGGGTTCACATCTGGCATAAGAGAAAATAGTCCCATTGGCTCCAGTACACAGAGGATGACACTGCTATCCATTGAGGATGTAGGAACAAACATGTGATGTTATCAGTGTTCTTCACAAAAAAAAATATGTTTCTGGTCTTTAAACAGCTCTACATATCGAGCTTACTGTATCTTGAGAGTCACCATGCAAGACACACCAGATCAGGCACAAGAACTGGTTTAGATGTCATAGTCAAACAGATACATGGGTAAATAATTAAGCCATCTGACCTATTTGAACAAACTCAAAAGCCAGTTACACTACCTATACCAAGTATCTTTTTAAAAGCCTTGTATGAAATAAATAGGGGGTTTTTATAGTTTTGGAAAGGTGAAAGAATAGGTAGAGAGGTAGAGAGGGTAGGCTGCCATGTTTTAGAGCCTGCTTGGAAACAAAATACAATAGCTTTTCCCAGAAAAACACAACCGTCTGCAAAAAGCAATAGTGTGATGGATGTTCTCAGGCACCATTCCATCAACATACACTACAACATGCTTGGAATTTTATAGGTAAGTCATATATTTTGAGCAAAGACTTTTTTGCAATAGAGAATTAAGATGACCTTTTCCTCTGCTAGGCTTAAATTAAAGTGCAATCATTCTTCGTTTCGTTTTAATAGAGGTGATTCAGCAAGCATGCATTCTACTACCCCACAGTCTAAGCCCCTCAGTCATCTTGCAAAGCTTTCTATTAATATTCTGCTAAGTTAAACTTTACACAACTCACAGCAACAATGAACTGAATCACTTTCTCAAAAACTGATCATTAAAGCAAAGTCATTCCTGATGCATAAAATGGCACTTGTGCTTCAAGTTTTGTGAAGAACTTATTACTCATTAAACACAGCAGTGCCAGATACTGCCAACAGAAGGCATATAAGTAAACAAGTTTATTATTACCTGAAAAGGACTAGACACAAGAAGCAGGGGACAGATAGGGAAGCTAAACGAAAATAAAGCTATCTGCCCAGACCTCAGATGTTGTACTCATTCCTGCAAAATTAATAGCCTGTTCTCAGTGAGATCAAAACCTCCTCTGAAGAAAATATTGCAGATTGAAAGCACACAGGCAAGAATACTTGTAAATGCTTAAGCGAAATGAGCACGCTCTTTGGCCTGTCTTAGCCTTTGTGTTACTGAGGACACTGACAACCTCTAGGTTATACATTCATAAACGTATTTCAGGGCTCAACGCGTATGACATACACGGAAGCACCAAGAGAACTGGGTTTGTTCCACCAATGGAACACAAGACTACCGGAGGGTCTCACTGCAGTCTTCTACTCCCTGAAGTGGAGTTACAAAGACAACAAAGTCAAAGTCTCTTCGGAAAAAGTCCACAAGCCAGGACAAGAGATTATAGTCAGAAGTCAGTGCAAGGGAAATTCCAGATGGACATAGGAAAAAAATCTCCGCAGTGAGAACTAAGCACAGGAACAGGATACCCAGAAAGGCTGTAAAATCTCCATCTTTGAGATACAAAAAAAAACTTGATTGAAAAAGGCTCTGAGCAACCTGACCTCACTTTAAGCAGGATGCTGGATTAATTGTTCTCCAGATGTCCCTTCCCATCGGAATTTTTTCATAACTATGTTCACCCACTACAGGGAAGCATTCATAGCAGAGGAAATTCCATTTTAGCTGCGCTAAAAGCATATCAAAGGATCATTAATCACCTCGGACACTGGTCACCTTGTCAACTTCGTTGAAGAAGGTAAGAGCAGTGGGTTTTGTCCAAAGACAACCGGCATTTAACACATCATGGTACATGAAAACAGCTGTCTTGCATACACTGCAATGGGATTAACTCACTAGAAGGTATGCAGACAATTGGAAAAGATTTTCAGTTCAACCCAGAGTTAAGACTGACTGTAGTAGTTCTAAGCCTTTCAATTTGTAGACCCTTAAAATGTTATTGGACCTCAGAATGATTTGCATTTCTTACATAGATATCATGGACTTAAGGATCCAGAGACCAGAAATGCAAAGCCACTGTTCTGCTCAAGAATACCAATGCAAACTGAGAGACTTCAGCTCCTTTACTCTCCATGTCATCACTTCAAAGTACAGTGTGGACACTCAACACATACTCCATCAAAAAGAATATTTGAATTTCATCATGAAAATTTTAGCATGCTCCATTAGAAAAGAAACATCTGTTAAAACTATTATACAAGTAGCAATTACAAGGATCTATCAGATGATTTTGTAATCACACTTCAACCCACAGCAGTATCATGGCAGAAGCCAGGACACAGAATATCACCCTTGTCCAGTAAGAACTGTATTATTAAAAGAAAGCATCTCCCTCTGGTGCAAGGAAGGGCAGGGAAGAGTGGTACAGGCTGCCTACACCTGGGACCCAGATTTTCATGGAGCTGGGATGTGTGTCTGTATCCAGTGTCTCTGAAGCACACTTGGGTCTCTCAGCACATGCTAATTAACTAAGCTAACTCTTAAGAAGTTAATTCTTGGTTTGATGATCAGAACACAGCTCTGTGCCCACAGCAGGGAACACACCAGTTCCTTGGATCCAGGAGGAATTAATTCCCTCAACCACCATTTCTCCCTTCAGTGCCCTAGAACAAGCATATAGAAGCCTTCCTCCACCCTATTACTTTCAAGGCATTAGAAAAGCCTGTATTGAGGGACATCTTTAATTTGTATGACTCTGCCGAGAAACAGAATGCCACGCTTAATCATCTGGCATTAAAAAGGGCAAACATAAATGGATAAATACCCTCATTTTGCCTGGTAGGACTTTTATACAGCTTCGAGGGTTACTGAATAACTGTCTCTTAGTGGCATGGTGTAGACATGAGCTGGCACAGGAGCTGAGATTCTTTGACTCAAGTCGAGTTCTTTCTGTTTACTCTTATAACAATTCAGCATCTCCTGTATGAGAAATAAATAAATTAAGGACTGACTGCATTTATTCCCTGTTCCCACAGCAGTTCCTCCACGCAAATCTGTGAGGATACACAGCAGGCGCACACAGAGCAGTGCCAGCAGCAATGCACTCATGCCAGACAGAAATTTTGTGAGAAAGGGAGGAGGAAAAAAAGTCAGTATGTGAAGAAAAACAAGTAAATCAGGCAATAAGAATAGAGCGGGAATTGAAACTTCCTGTTCTCTCAGGGAGAGAGACTGCCTGTCTTGCTTTCTGAGGAAAGCAAAGAGGAGAGAGTTTCCCTGGCAGCAGCTGTCCATCACTAGGAATAAAAATCTGTGATGAGGTTAAGAGCCCTTTGGCCAACAGACAACAGAGTAAGGTCATAACTGCCCCTAAAACCTAGAGCCCCTGGCAATCTATAGGCAACAAGGTTAGACAGTGGGCAGACAAACAGGACATAACCCCAGATGACACGAACTGATTTATTTCTGCAGCACTCGCTATGCCACCTGAGGATCTGACCTGCCGTAGCTCCAAAGCATGGGGTGGGAGTTTCTGTTCAGCGTGTATGTCAGTGAACGCAGGATTTAATTTCTCCTGGCTAAGCAGACATGATGCTGTTTCCTTGAGCACACCATGCCTCAGGCTCCTCAAATGACCTCTTGCTTTATGAGGTTGAGAAGCAATGGTGATAACCATAGTTGTCTTTGGTATAAGAAAACCTTCCTTGCAAACATGCTGTCAGGGAATAATTTTTTTTCAGATCTAGGTGACTTAAGAGTGGAGAAAAAGCAGCAGACTTTTTCCTGTCAGACCAATGTGCAATACCCCTCATGCCACTCTCTCCTCTCCCAAATTAAATGATCTTATTTACTGTGTTTTTTTCCAGCCAGCCTCTTTACAATGCATATTATTTATGCTGTAGGATTAATTTACATAGTGAAAAAGTCTATTTCACTAGTGGTCTTATTAAACAACGAGCCCAAAGCTTCTTCAACTAACAGCACTTGTCAGCATTGTTTTCAAGACAGCCTATTGTGTCTGTCCAAGAAAACCATGCCACATGCAATCTGCCTTTTCCATCACTGCCACTCAGGCAGCCACTAAAGCTGTGGAGTTGAGCTGTGCTTTGGGAGACTCTGAGAGACGTGCTTCGTTTGTGTGGCTACGACAGCGAGGAGTGTCCAGTTTGTGTATTTCTCTGCTCAGTATCCAAACAGCATGCTTCATAAATGCGTGGCTGCCTTACCTAATACATGGTTGCCTATCTTTTACTGCACAGAGCAAACTTTTGTCTTTTTAGTCATAAAATTTGAATAAACAACCTTTTCTATAACTGGATAAAAATGAAATCTATGTATGAAATGCAGTACTGTTTTAGCTGCTTTTCTGGTTTTAGATACAGGTGAATTTGTTTCCATACTGGAATTAATGTAAAATACTACTTCTTGTATTACTTGGATTCATTTTGCTATGCATCTTCACATTAACAGAAAATTCAAGACTAAATCTTTTTGCCCCCGCAATTTTATTCTAACTTTTTTTTAAAAAGGATTTTGCAACGTAGTTATTTGATACCAAATTTTGATGACTTAAAAGACTTACAACTGTCTGACAAATTAGTAATTATGCTGTAACTTTACCCTCATCATCACTAATTCTCTGAAATAATACAGAAACCAAGGTATTGCTTATTCTTACCTTTCAAGCTATGATATACTGTTATAATGCTGCATGAAATGCCAGGTCAGATGTTTAACATTATCCACAGGCAACAAAAGTTTGTGTATATATTTTAGTCCCTTAAACAAAAAAAGCTGCTCTAGATTTGTCTCATCATTAACCTGGACATGAAAACCTACCTTTTACTGTGAGTAAAATCCTGTCTCAGCCGAGTTAGTCAGAATTTTGTTGTCGATTCACATAGGTGGACATTTGTCTCATACGTTAATTAAGACAAAACTTGAATGTTCTCGTAGTATCATTAAAATGAAATCTGAGAAATTATTCTGGGATTTCTGTTCTCTGAGCTTCGTATTTCCCATCTCTGGAGGAATGGACCAGCAAATTCTTCTATGTGAATATTGC